ACCCCAAGGGCTTCTTCTAACTCTAACAATGCCTATTTTGTGCAGGCAGTGAAGAAATGATTAGTCACGGACTCTCTCCTTTGCAGCACATACATGGACAGAGCTTGTTAAACTTCTTAAAGGACAATAGCACCATACCTGAGTGTTCTGGTTTTTTCAATCATTGTAGTTACACCTGGCTTTTAAATGCCAAAGGCTGGTCAATGGCAGTGCAGACAATGGCAGGTAACTGTAGTAGGAGTAACTTAAAAGGGCATTGCCAAGACCAAGATAGTCATTTAATTCATGCACACATGCACTCTTCCCACACACCAAAAACTTTAATCCTTCTGAAGCGAGTGACAATTTAGCGTGTCTGGAATACTGATTTAGCATAGCATAATGTGAAGTCATCACATTTCCTGCTATAGTAATGCTACTTCACATCTGTAATTATAATGCTACTAGTTGGCTTTTATATGTGGCTTTATCTGTAGATCTCAGTGCTTTACAAAAGTGTATAAGCGTTATGGGCCCCCATTGTACAGCTGAGGACATTGAGGAATAGAGAAGTTAGGCTACTTGGTCAACGTCACTCGGCGAGTCAATAGCGGAACCAGTACTAGTATTCATGTTTGCTACTTTCCAGTTCAGTGTCAATCACTTCTGATCCTCTGTGGATTAGAGGAAGCAGCATATGGAGGAGTCAGGAGAGCAACGAGTTTGAGACTAAGGAGCTAGAGGCAAAGTCACCAATAGGAGGCAGGATCCAAGTCAAGGTTCAGAGAGTAGAGTGCACAGGGCACAGTAGGAGGAAAGTAATAGAAATGTGGGAATGGTTGGGCAATAGAACACACCAGGATTGGAAGAGAAGGGTTGGGAAGGTGAGACACAGAAAGTAGGACACTTCAGAACTGGAAGAGAAACCAGAAGTCAGGAGAGCATTTAGTTAACCTGTGGAAAGAGTAGCGCTGCTCGGGGATGAGAATGCATAGAGAGGGTGGGGTACGCCAGTAGTGAAAGAAGATAGGGTCGTGTAGCAGAACACACAAGCATAGGGATCAAAGTAGGGACTGACTGTTACTCTTGTTTGCACAGGGCGTAGCACAATTGGGTCCCACTCTTGGCTGGTCTTCGGCCCTACTGTAATAAAGTGGGGCGGGGAAGAGAGAGAGGGAGTGTCAGAGATGCACCAAAGAAGCATGAGAAAAATCAGTTGAAGATAGAGCTGTAGGGGAATGCACCTGGGAGGAGGGCAGTGAACAGATCTATGTTGGTATTGCCTCTAAAGAGAAAGCTAAAAAGCAGTGCCAGCTACACCCAATAAAGAGGGAAAGGAGACCCAGTCAATTAGCACTTGCTTATATTTGTAGCGTTCAAGAAACCTAGCCATGACTTCAGTTTCTACTTCAAGGCTAATACCCGTAAAATCCTCTCTGTGCAAAAGAATTGGGCCTTGTTGTTTTTATATATGTGAAATATTCACGAAAATACCAAGACTTAGAATGTTTGCAGTGTTGAGTTGAAGCTAGTTGACAGATGGGTTGTCTTTTTGGCTTGTAAGCTCTTTAAGGTAGGGACTGTGTACATTCAGCACCTAGCACGTTGGGGCTGGGAGGTGCTACTGTAATACAAATAATAAATTATAATTTGGGCTTCCGATTTCAGGTTTTAACTGGTAAACACCAATAAAACACTCCGAATATTTTTTAAAAAACTGTTTATCCAATAAACACTGGAAAAACTTTGTAAATGGTTAATCGGTTTGTGTTGACTTCCCCTCTTTCCCAGTGCAGTTTGTTTATGTAATTGATGTCTCTCCTCCCTGGCTTGTATCTACAGGCTTCTGTGCATTATCGCTCCATCTAGACTATGGGAAGGAGGTTTCTAAAGTGTACCAATGTGTTGAGAATTAATTGGTCCATATAAACCCTGCTGGTGCGCACTCAAGTATCCCTTGTGTGCTTTAATGTAATGCTGTTTGAACCAGTACTAGGTGCATATGCAAAGAGAGAGCCCTCAAAGCCCCCATTTTTTTGACATCTACATGGAACTCAAAAATTGCTAAACAAATAAAACCTGTTTTTCAGGGTTTATTAATTTCATTTTTCAGAAGCCCTAATTATAATGCACTGTCAGTTTCTCAGGGAAGCAATCTGTTAATTTTTTTTTCTTTTCTTTTTTTGTTTGCTAAGTGATATGTATATAAGAAGTGACTTAGGACTCAGGTGATACTAGGTGAATGATGACCAGTATTCAATAGTCATAGTTTTGGCAGGGGATAGCACATTGTGGCTTCCATTGTAGCTGGTCTGTGTTCCCCTAAAGGACTTCCTCCTAACTCTACAGATGTAGCACCTTAAATTAGGTGGATCATGTTACAAGAAAAACTAAACTTCCTCTGCTTAGTCTTGAATCGGTGCTTATAACATATATTTATTTGATGAACATAAAGGGGAAGCAGCTAGAAAATAAGCTGCTATAGAGAAGATGAAAGGGGAAAACTGTAGGGATAAAAGAAAATCTGTAACGTTGATTAACCAGAGGGTATGCCTCTCATAGCCAGAGAGATACGGGTATGTTTGATCCAGCTGAGCTCACTGTAATTTGATCCATTGAGCTGTTGATTTTTGAAAAGTTAACAGCACATCTTTGCGTTTAAAAATGCTTTGTATTTTCATATTGCAAGCCTTGAAGAGAATCGACAGCCAAAAGGACCTTGGCTTGAATGAGACCATAAGAAATAAATTGTGCATTGGGCAGAACACATTAAAACAAGAACACATACACAGAAGGATTTTAATGTAAACTGAGGTGGTCATGAAAAATCAGATCAAAAGGTTGTGTTGTATATTTTTATTCTGATTAGGCAGTGCTAGGCATCCTTTCCCTCTTGCAGAATTAAGAAGATGACACATTTTTTTTGAAACTTGCACCAAATCCAGATATTTTACAGCACCATGTTGAAAGTGGCAGAACAGCAACTAAGCTGTCCAATGTTTAACTTTCAGGGAAGGTGTTACATGGTCTTGTCTGTAGGACTTTCATTTTCATAACCAAGGGTTTAGCCCTGTGCCCTGCCTCTGACCACCCCCACCCCCTCCAGGTTTGAGTTATTGCTGCTTTTTGGAATCTCATCAGGCTTTGCAAACAACTTCAGTTTGCCACCAGTTGGGTAATATAATTTGTTTATTTCATTTTTAAATAGCTGAAAGAGTTTGAAAATTTTTATTTGAGGTCAGAACAAATACTTTGTGTTCGATGGAAATGTAAATAGGGGAATTATTTGTCCTTCAAGCTTTTCATAATGTTGTTTTTTTCCATTTGAATTCTAATTTCCACCTTCAAAAGATTACACATTTATTTCATACTGGAAATCAGTGTTTAATCACTAAGGAAATTAGATACTACTTTTACTTGTAACACGTTTTTCATTATCATTTTTATTACTTAACCAGAAGGAGAATGCTACTGAGAAACTATTCTTTGTTTATTCATTATTTTTTTTCCTAAACTACAATACAGAGGTGCCCACGATCCAGTGCTCTCAGCACCCTTAGGCACTCTTTTAAAAAATCACTGATGACTCTCTGGAGCTGTAAATGACCCATGATCAAATAACCCTAGTGACAATATAACTGTAACACACATGGAGTAAGAATCCTCCCATGGTGAGGGCAGTAGCCTGGGACTTGGGAGACCCAGAATCAGTTCCCTGCTTGGCCATGGACTTCCTGTGTAACGTTGGGTATGCCCCTTAGTCTCTCTGTGCCTCAGTTCTCCATCTATAAAATGAGGACAATAGTACTTCCCTATCTCACAGACGTATTTGTGAGCATCAACACGTTAAGACTGTGAGGTCCTCAGATACCACAAGGACGGGGGGGTCAAAGGAGTACCATATATAGACTCATTAGTCATCTTCCACACACAATCCACAAAACAGTTCTGTCTCACCAAGGAAGTGAAAATATTGGTCTTCCAGTGCTCCTGCAAGCTACCAAACTCAGGCTGTCTCAGACCTGGGTCCAGGAAACCATTTTAAAAAGCTACACAGCCCCTAGCTGAGAACACCCTGCCAGCAGCCCCACTGGGACTTCCTCTCAGGTGCCTCTGCAGTAAGTCGCTGGGAGAGAGGCAGCCTCTTACTGGTTTGTGAAAGGGGGAGATGCAGTTGATTATGTGAAACCTGCACCATTTCAGGACAGGAAGCATCAACTTTATTTTTAATTTTAAATGAATTTGGCCAGTTTTTAATGTTTTTAAATATAAAATTGTTGATGGAATAAAAAGGCTCCTTCAGTTTATTCCTGCTTCTGTTAAGAAATGGGTCCATCTGGGTTTTTATAATGTAGCCCAATAGCATGGTCTCTCAGCACAATTGAACCTCAATCTGCTGGCTCAGCACCCAGGGCCCAGTTCTGCAAGGTGCCGAGAGGCGCTGAGAACTCCAGTCCCATTGACTCCAATGTGAGTTAAGGGTGTTCCACATCTTGCAGGATCAGGGTCCCAGCACTTAGTCCCCCAGGCTGCAGGTCCAGCACCTTCTTCCCATCAGTTTTTTTTATTCTTTTGCATTTCTAAATCACTCAAATCTGCATGTTTTGTGGGGGGTGGAAGCCTCAGAAGTAATGACCAGCCTTCGGAGCCTGAGCCAATCCCCAATGTAATCAATGGAGAGGCTACTGTATGCACTGAGGCCCGCAGCTCTCTGTGGATCACCAGCTGTTGGTCCATGGACCATGGTTTTGGAATCTGTTTTACTGTATGCTCTCAGTTCTCTGCTCACCACTGTGATCTGTACTCCTGGTACTACAGCATTACAGGAGGTCCCCTTCCCCCACACCCCATTTTCAGTGGCCCAGGATGAAGGGAAGCAGTCAACATCAGACAAGGACTTGAATGCATTTCTTCCATAAACCTTACTAGCACTAGTTATTTCCCACTGGAGAGGGCTAGTATTGCCTAAATGTGTGAGAGAATTAATTTTAGAATTAATCAGGAAATTCTCGGCCTCCATATATTTTTTCCTTTAATTTAAAATAATCTGCGTGTACTGCAGTGCTCCTTTTAGCAGTATAGTAAGAGTCTTTGTACGCTGTGATCTTTTGAACAAATTTTATAGCAACTGTAATTGAAAGAAATGTTTTATTTGCCTGCATGGCTGAGCTCTTAAGTAATTTTTTCAGCAAATTAGTTGACTCTAGTGCTGATTAATGTTTTTATTATCTTATTTTGTGGGCATTAAAAAAAAAGTTTAAATGCCAGAGAGGAAAAGAGCAAGTTAGTCACAATTATCATTATTCCATAATTAAATCTTAGAACAGAGATACCACTAACTCACATCGTCCGGTACATTTTTCATTTCTTTTGGAATACATCTGGTACACATAGGCAGAAACTGCCTGCATAGAATCATAGAATATCAGGGTTGGAAGGGACCTCAGGAGGTCATCTAGTCCAACCCCCTGCTCAAAGCAGGACCAATCCCCAATTAAATAAAGTTGTTTCTCTGATGTAAGAGAATGATTCAAGGGCTGTCATTATGGAAAAGAACTACAAAAAAAAGTTACAACTTTTTAAGTACCTTTCACAAAAATGGTACAACAAACACTATCAGACTGCCAACAGTAAAGGTTAAAAGCAGCCACAAATTTTAACTCTTTTAAAATGTTAGCTTGAATAATAGGACTGATTATTTGATTTTGTTGTTGTTATTGTTTAGAGGTGAAACACCACTTTGATTTTTATCCCATTTCTTCCAAACGCTAAAGTTAGGCTTACTGAATGATTGGGCACGTGAAAGGAAGTTTGAAGGAAATGGTATGTGGAGGTAGGAAGTAGAATGTGGTCAGTTTTCAGATGCATCCGCATGGACATTGTTTAGTATACTACAGGATTTGTGCCCTTACCTCTCCTTTGCCGGTGTGTGCTGCATTCATTTAGTAGAAGGAGTACTGGTAGTAATAATAACTGGTATTCTAGCAGTAGGTAGAGGCCCAAACCAAGCCTGGGACAGTTTCCTGCAAATGTAGAGGGACTCTCCCTGCCCCATGGAGCATACAGTCTAAATGTAGACTGGGCTACAATACAAATTGCCACAGCATTCACACGCAATTGTAAATGATTGATTTAGCTGACATGACACTGACCACAGCAGACTAGTCAGTGCAGACCAGCACGAGTCATGGTCAGCATGACGTCGATGAACCACAATTAAATCCTGCTGGGTTGAGGGTCAGTCACGGTGAGCTGACGTGATGCTTATCGTGGTATGGCCTGGCCTGGTCTGTTCTGTCAGTTAACTCAGTTCTTCTTAGTAACCATTTTCAAACACCGTAAAATGCTCTAGAGGTGACAACAGCTCTGCCTTAGATGCTACTTTATAAGGGTCAGGCGCTTGAAAAGTGAGCCTAGAATCTCTGTCCTGTGGAAATAAGATGTCTGAGATCGTTGTTGAAATATTGACACTGGTTTTGTATTATGAGTGTGTTCCCCCTCACCATCTTTGTCTCGTCCATTCTTTCCACACTGTCCCCTCATCTTTCTCCTTCCTGTCTTAGAGCCTGCTACTCTCTCCGTTCCGCCTCTCCCCACTTCCAAGCTCATCTATACTATCATGCCACATAATTGATCAGACTATCTCATCACTGCCTGTCGCTTTGCCACCTTCCTCCCAAAGCACTTTCATTTCATCTCCATTTTCAAGGGTCTGACTACAGCCTGAATAAACCATCTGTCTCATTTCCCCCTCAGTACCTCCCTCCCTCTGCTGCTGAGCCTGCCCTCTGCAGCAGGAGCTTTGATGCCCTGCATCTCAGCAACTGAGCTGGCTTTTGCCCTTTGCTGTTGGGCAGTTGATGGGTGGAGTGGGGGATCTGCTGCTGAAAACTGGAGTGCAGGGCAGAAAGCAGGAAATAGGAAGAGCTGCTGAATGTTGTGGGAAATCACTACTGGGGGAAAAAACAACAAACCCACCTTTCTCCACCTGCAGGCCCCTATGCTGTGCCCTACAGAGCTTCCAGCTTCTAGAGTAAATGAAGCAGGGATCTTACAAATAGCTTCATTCTCTCTGCAGTCCTGATTCATTCTCTGTGCCCAGAATAAGGCAGGGATCCTGTAGAAAAAAAAGAGCGTGATTATATAATTAAAGACTGTATCATAGTGTATATGCACCAGGAGGGTGAATAAAGATTACACAGGCAACCTAAAATTTGGCATTTTCTAACTTCTGAATGCTTAATTTTGCAACCTTAATGTGCTTAACAGAGTTGTTTTAATGTTGTGTGCATGTATGTACCTGTGTGTGTTATGTATGCATGTTTATGTATGTACATAACATTAAATGTATCTAGGATTTTTTATATACACCAGTCACTGTGACACCAATGAATTATCAGCTTTCTGTTTTAAAAGAGTAGCATCAGCACTTAATGTTCTATGCAGATTTTTATTGGAAAACTCAATAAGTACTATTTTAAAAAATTTGAATGCCTCTTTCAAGAAATATCTTCCATGAGACCTTAGTTTGTAGGGAAAAATTCTAACCTCTACTGCCCAGAGATGGTTCTCATTGGTAGTTCAGTATATGCATGTCTGAGAGTAGAGCTTGCCTGTCAATGCTTGAAAGTGAATAATTTTTTTTTAAATTGAGCCCATGGAAACATTTCCCATTGCACTGGATCAAAAAAAAGTGTTCAAAATTCATTCATGATAATAAGATTGTCTGGAGAATAAAGCGTGTTTTGGAAACAAGTACACTTTATTATAAAAGAGAAAAAAAAAGGTGAGACAAAAGTTTCTCTTTGCAAAACCTATATTTGCTTTAGCTTTGATTGTTACAGGAGCTAACCGTGTGACACTGGAGGACTCCAATATCCTGCAGCCAATGGGACTGACTGTGTTGGGGAATCACTTGTACTGGATTGACCGTCAGCAGCAGATGATTGAGAGAGTTGAGAAAACCAGTGGATACAAGAGGACTAGAATCCAAGGCCGAATTGCTCACTTGACAGGCATTCATGCAGTGGAAGAAGTTGATATGGATGAATTTTGTAAGTTTATTTCAGTGCCATGTATTCTTGATTGCTCTGGTGCTGATTTCTCTTAAGCTTCTGAATCAGACACCCAGTGTGTATCCTAGCATGTGAATTTCTGATTCCTCAGTTTCTGACTTGTTGTGAGTTTTTGTGTTCATTTTAAACAGAATGTAGCAGGGTTTTTTAGTAAGCACTGTTTGAAACCAGGGAGTTTTTTTGCCAATGAAAAATGGTACATATAATTTTGGCTATTTATGTAACACCCAAAAATACACCAGGCGTCCTACAGACTTATAAGCAGAATCCTGCTCTAATGACAATTTGTACACAAAATACAGGCATAGGGCTTGATTGTGAGGGGTGCTGAACACTCTCGCCTCAACCCAGCTAAGCGCTTAAGCATGTGACCAGCCCCATTGACTTCAAATAAGTTCTTAGCTGGATTGCAGCCAGTCCAGCGTGCTCAGCACCTTGCAGGATGGACCTCCCAGAAGAGAAGGTAATGCAAACCTCTTTTCCCATTCCTGTCCTGAATAATCTCTGCACAGAAAGATGGCTATTTGATGTCGTAGTAGTTAGCAATCTATTCAGCATGTACATGCATAATACAAAATTTGCTCCTGAAGCGGCTTAGAAAATAAAAACAAAGAAAAACTAGATGTCAGCTGTTTGATGCAGAGAGGTTAATTACACTAGCCTTTCACCACTGCAAACCTGTGATCAAACGTGGTTTACTGTGTGCCATAAGGGAGTTATTCCACATAGTATTAGGGGAATCAGCTATAAGAAAAAGAGCTGAGCCTGACCTCTGTGTTTCTAAACCAGTGAGGCATCAAGGAGCGAGGGGGGCTTTTGTTGAACTGCAAAGCGTGGAAGGGGGCTCCTTTTAAAATAGTTTGCTGAAATACATCTCCACTGATCCTGGGGGGAGAGAAGTAAGGGAGGAGAAGCTATGTATTGCTTGCCCTGCCTCCCCTACCTTAGAAACAACAGTGGACAAACATAGTGAAGTAGCAGGCATGCCAGTTTGAAACACTGTTGCAACAAAAGGAACAGTGAAAACTGGCTAGGACTGTCTGTTTCACTTTGCTTCTCCTAGAGAGCAGTGCTAGCGGTCAGACATAATCTGGGAGAAGGGAGAGATCCAGAAAGAAGAGGAAAGAGAAAAAATATGGGGGAGACGCACCCTTCGTTAATTTTAGGATGTGCGCATTAACCTTCCAAGTGATCACCTAATCGTAGGCTTGTCCTTCCCTTTTCATCTACCTCCGGGGGGGTGTTGGTTTCTGTGCCTGTTTGTTTTTTGTTGTCTTCATTTAGACTGCAAGATCTTCAGCGCAGGGATTCTGTCTTTGTTGTTGTAACGCAGTGTGCATGTTGAGGTTATTATGTAAGTAATAGTAATGAGGCCAAGACTTGACCAAGCAGAGCAAGGAGCTGCACCAGTGGGTTAGTGGAAACATACCATAATCTGGTTCCACATTTGGTTTCTTTCTCTGGGAACCAGCAGATGTTAGAACTGTAGAGACACTGAGCCCCTGGGGATGGTGGTAATGGGTCCCTTCTGGCTGACTGACAGAGAAGTGCTGATGAGATACAGGAGGCCTTCTGTCAAACTCCACATCTGGAAGAAGGATGGTGCAGGGCCTTTGAGGAGAGAGGAAGATGTTAACTGGGGGATCGAGGAGGGGAAGGATCCGAGAAAACCTCCCACAAAGAGGAAGAGAATTAAAAAAGAGAGAGAGAGAGAAAAGATTGTGGAAAGATGCAGAGAATGAAAGAGACAGAACGGTAGAATAAGGGAGTGTAAAGGAGTGGTGGGGAAAGGAAAAATATGCCCAATACAAAAGGGGCTAGAGAAGGAGACCTGAAGGTAGAGGGTGATTGTGTGTGTGTGTGTGTTTAATTTTAGGATATCATGTCTGTTTCTTTTATCTACTCATCTAATAAACTGTGATTGATAACTTCTCTGGAGGTTGAAAGACACATGGAAAGAAAATGTCCTGATATTTTCAAATCTCTCTTTCCATCCACCCCATTACCCCTACTGTTTGAAAAAGCCATTAACTAGAATAGCAGGAGGCGGCTGCATTGGCAGACCTGTGTAGGGGGAAACCTGTGTAATGTTTGCTTGCACTCTTGTTAATCTTTGATTTATAAGCACTGAAACTCTCAAATTTTGAAAATAAGAGTGTAGGAATCATTCATTGTGTAAAAAAAAAGGGGGGGGATTGAAGCCATTTTAGTACACTTTTTCTAGAATTTTGCAAAAGATTAACCCCTTTTCTTTCACAATATGTAATATTGACCATTCTTAGCCTTTTCTCTAGCATCTCCTTGCTCCACTCCCAGTGTCTCTCAAAGGTACCATTACTTTACTGCTGCAAAGGGATTTTATTTTTTAATTTAAGCACAATTCAGAGAATTGGGAAATGATTTTTACATGCTAAATCATGAATGGTTAAAAAAAGGGGGGGGGGCGAAGTGCTTTATTTTCTTTATGGCAAGGATCCTGCTTTCTACTTTGAGTCACACTTGAAAAGAATCGCCCTTCAGGGCTGAAATCTGAAACTTGTCCTTTAAAGGTGAATCTCTGTTGCAACAGAACAATTTTAAAAAAATTGTTTTTCTTTTGCTCTTCCAACAGTCCACGCTGCGTGCAGTGGCATCTTAAGACTATATATAAAAATAATATGTTTGTTAAAAGTGAAGGCAGATTTCTGGGCTAAATGCCTGATTAATGAGTCTGAGCAGATGGAGAGCACATTTGGCACAGAAATAATTAGCTATTTTTATATGGATCTGCCCCCCCCCCGTAAAAATCTTAGAACTTACTAGTACTGTATCCAAGAATGCATCATTCTGTGACAACAAATATGGGCTCCACTTCAACAAGACATCTCAGCATGTGCTTAAATGTAGGCACATACAGGAAGTGATGTAATCCAGTGGATTGGGCATTAGACTAGGACTCAAGAGACCTGCATTCTATTCCCAGTTCTGCCATCTGTCTGCTGTGGGACCTTGGACAAGTAACTTTACCTCTCTTTCTCCTCCCACCCTTTGTCTGTCTTGTCTATTTAGGTTGCCCATTTGAGGAGCTATTAAGTGCTTAGCACTTTTGAGAATCAGGCTACTTACCTAAATGCCTAAATCTGGGTTTAGAAGCCTAACTGTACCTACTGTTTCTTTTTTAAATCTTGGCCCACATATGTTGTTTTGTGTGTGTACATATGTGTACTTCAGTTTTGTAAATAATTTTGGGGTCCTTCAAGATTAAGTGTACTGAAGAGGCCTTTTGTTTGGTTTAAACAAAAGTATCCCGTCTCTTTTTGACGTCCAGTTCGCAGATGAAATGCAGATGAAGTATACTCATTCTTTAAGTGTAGTCTTTACAAGAAGCTTCTACTAGTTTCTTTGCATCTGAGTTTCTAAATATTTAAAGGATTTCTGAGAAGTCCGTATACCTTGGTGTTCAGGAGCAATATCCCTAGAGAGACTATAAATCAGGTTTTGAGTAGTGACCTGGGAAGTCATGCATTTACTGTGTTCGTGTCCAGTGAAAGTTGGTAGTTCTTACAGAAACCAGCTTTGCACTAGCTGAACATCCTGATTTATTAACAGTGTACAGTATTCCATTCCATGTGTTGTTTATACAGCTGCACATCCATGTTCCCGTGACAATGGTGGCTGTTCACACATCTGCATTGCTAAAGGAGATGGAACCCCAAGATGCTCATGCCCAGATCACCTTGTACTTTTACAGAACCTCTTAACATGTGGAGGTAAGTGAATTAATTTAACAGGGCTTTTTATATAGGGCACACGTATCCATAAAGACTCTCAGAGCTTCTGGGGTCAAGAAGCTGCATAGTCAGATTTCCTCCTCTCCTCCCAATGTGTGGTCACAAATTCCACTGTGATAAACTTTAACCCAGTCATGTCACTTGCACTTTCTTTAATGTATGTAGGGTCTGACTAAAGATATCTACATGTTTCTGTAGGAAACATGAGCTAAGATTCAGTGCTGGGATGCAAACACACAGTTCCCCTGGAAGTAACTGGTGCATCCATGGTCAAAACTTGGCCCTTACTCCATAAGGTTTGGTGTTTAGATCTTTGAATCTATGTCTCTGTCTTCATTGCCCGCAAAGTGCCCCTCTGGGCCTCGGAAGATTTAGCACATGTATTGATACTTACTGAAGTTTGTCTGGTGTGACTGATTTGATTGTTGTGCTGTAAACGTGCTTGGTAGAGTGTGACCATGTTGCATTAGGCTGTTATAATGTGGCACAGGACAGTGCTGACACGTCATAAGGCCATATGCGACGTTTCGCAAACCCGGAAATTAGTGTCAGAGCATGACTTTGATGTACTCCGTTGCTAATAAAATCAAGACAATTCTGGCGATCCCAAGATGGGTAGTGGCCCTGTTCATTATAGTAGCTCTCTTAATCCCCCACTTTATGCTTTCCTGCTTCTTTCGCAATCCCAGGAGTTTTCACTATTTGTAGCACTGCACTTGCTGGGGGAATTAAAAAAACAAACAAACTCATTTCTTCTGGGAGGTCTCATATCTTCAGTATTTTAGCTTTATCGCTGCACTCAAGCTTTTTGAAAAAATATATTCATTTCTCTCTAGATTTCATGTGCTGGCTGAACTCTCACCTCCCCAGGGGAAGTCATTTCCATTGTAAACTGTTTTCTTTCCCATGACCACAACACACTATGTGGTTTCAGAGTAGTAGTGGTTACTTCTGGAGGCCAAAAAATAAATAAATCAGTCTACTCGTATTTCTCAATCTGCTGCTCCTGCAAGACATTGCCAGTGAGAGATTTCTTACCTCCCACTGTTTCATTATCTTCTGCTATAAATCTAACAAATTTAGGGCCTCCCTTTTGGTCTTCGTTCATTTTTATACTAAGCTTATCCAGAGCCTGCTAAGACTTTCTGACGCATCCTGTCTGCAGCATTAGCAGCCCTGAGCCAGTGTCTTTCAGTAGCCTGAAAATGCGTTGCAGAGTGTCTGCCCCCAGATGCTTTAACCAGTTTTAGGACCAAATTTGTATTTGCTTGATGCAAGAGGGTGCAATATTAAATTCAGCTCAGTGGCTGAATTCATCTTCCAGGGAAGAGCTGGTCATTCTCATTTTCTGCATTGCCTGGAAATGTTCTGTCTGAATAGGAAATCCAGATTAGTTTTCATTCCTGAGTTTTCCCAGTTATTTGTGTAGGTGACATATTAGTTTATTCAGAGCTGTTAATTGATTGGTTACCGTTGAGTTACTCAGTATTGCCAGCTCCAAGCAATCAAAAATCACAACTGGTTTAAAAATCATGAGATTAAAAATAATAAACATTGGGTTCTTGTTGTTTGCCTTTTGGGTTTTTAACTGCTGAAATACACTTGGGTCACTTTTTCAAGCTTTTCTCCACAGCCAAGAGGGCTAGAAACTTTATTTTCTATGAAAGATCAGATTTCTCATGTAGTCGCATAACTCTGGGAGATGGGGCTTTAAGAAAAACGCAAAAGCACCTATTGATGATGATTTCTCCCATTGTCACCAAGAGGGAGATTTTGCTTATGCTGGCTGTTGAAAGAGAATTCTGTATTGCAAGGTGGCCATGCTGGGCCTTTCTGTATTATGCAGCCTTTGGTACACAATAAGTTCAGTAACATTGTCACCACGGAGCTATTGTATGAATACATTGTTGCTGTTGACTACATCTTCCTCCTGGAAGATCAGTATGAGAGTTCTAACAACATTTCATTGATTTTCAGATACTACCACTTAACATAAGACTGTGCCTTATATATTTACTATAACAAATGTGTAATGTAGTAATCTGTTGTAGTTCTTTAATACAGCTGATTTACATGTTCTAGGGAAGTAGTGGTACCTAGTGGGTAGGTCCTGGACTGGGACTCAGGAAATCTAGGTAGTTCTTTGAGTGCTTGGTCATGTCCATTCCATTGTAGAGGAGTGTGCTCACCACATGCACCAGTGCGGGAAGTTTTTCCCGCAGTGGTATCCGTAGGGGACCACCTCTAGTGCGGCGCATGTATGCACCAGTGTAAGGGGCGCTGCCGGTTCCCACCTCCCTCAGTTCCTTCTTCCTGCCAGTGATGGTGCTGCAATGTCTCCTTGCCTTGGGCGTCCCCTCCAGATGTGGCTGGCATCAGTCTATTCCCCAGCCAGACATCACCTAGACATGGTCATCATGATCCCGCCGCAGGTACTTACCTCCCTGCAGTGGTGGTCCAACCCGATTCTGGTGTTGGAAGGTGTGCTGTTCGCGAGCCTGTGACCCATGGTCTCCCTGATTTCAGATGCATCCGACCTTGGCTGCGGAGTGCATCTCAGTACACTGCGGATTTGGGTTATGGTCATGGGAGGAACTCGCATTATATATAAACATCAGAGCCATCCTTCTGGCTTGCGGTGTCTTCCTTCCCCAACTGTCTGGTCAGGTAGTGCAGATGTTGACGGATAATATGGCCTCCATGTTCTATGTCAACAGGCCTGGGGCAGCTCATTCACGGCTCTGTGCCAGAAGGCCCTCTTTCTGTGGGACTTCTGCATTCAGCATGTGATCCACCTGGAAGCCTCGCACCTCCCCGGCGTCCAGAACATGCTGGCGAATCACCTCAGCAGGTCCTTTGTCTCTCACCATGAGTGGTCCCTTTACTTGGAGGTCGTCAGAATGCTATTCCAGAAGTGGAGAACTCCCCGAGTGGACCTGTTCGCCACCAGACAGGACAGAAAGTGTCATCAGTTTTGCTCTCTCCAGAGCCTCGGCAGAGGCTCACTTTCCGATGCCTTTCTCCTGTCGTGGTCAGGAGACCTGATGTATGCCTTCCCGCCAATTTCTCTCATCAGCAAAGTCCTCTCAGAAATCAAGGGGGACAAGGCATGAGACATTATGATTGCCCGAGCATGGCCTCACCAGCATTGGTTTAGCATGCACATGGACCTGGCCACAGCAGCCCTGTGGCGACTTCCCAGCCGCCCGGACCTTCTCTCTCAGGAGCACTGTTGGCTCTTGCACCTGAACCTCACCTCTCTCCACCTCACAGCTTGGATCCTGTGTCACTGAATCCAGAGGAACAAGCTTGCTCTAGTCAGGTACAGCAGGCTCTCTTGGAGAGCAGAAAGCCCCAACCACCGCAACTTACCTGGCAAAATGGAAGTGTTTCTCCTGCTGGGCATCAGAGCAGAATAGCTCCCTGACCCAGTCATCTCTGCAGTCCAGCCTGGATTACCTGCTTCACTTAAAGCACCAGGGCCTCGCCCTCTCTTAGATCAAGGTGCACCTGGCAGCCATATTGGCCTTCCATCATCTCATCCAGGGTAGATTGGTATTCTCACAAGAGATGTCGATCAGGTTCCTGAAAGGCATTGAAAGACTCTTTCTGCCAATCCAGGACCTGGTTCCCCAATAGGACCTCAACCTGGTCCTTCCCAGGCTCACGGGTCCACCCTTTGAGCCTACAGCTTCTTGTTCCCTTTTCCACTTGTCGTGGAAGGTTGCATTCCTTGTAGCTATTACCTCAGTGAGATGGGTCTCCAAGATTAAAGCCCTCACTTTGGAGCTCCCATACACGGTATTCTACAAGGACAAGGTCCAGCTGCAGCCCCATCCATTCTTCCTGCCAAAGGTGGTGTCACACTTCCGTGTCAGCCAGGATATCTTCCTCCTGGTGTTCTGTCCAAACCTCCCATGACCAATGAGAAGAGGCGTGCACACTCTGTCAGGCATGCCCTGGCTTTCTACCTGGAGTGCACCAAGCCCTTCCGCAGAGCCACCCAGCAAGTTATCGCGATCGCTGACAGGATGAAGGGCCTTCTGGTGTCCTCTCAAAGGATTTCGAATTGGATCACCACCTGCGTCCGTACTGGTTACGAGTTGGCGCAGGCTGTGCCCCCATCAGTAGTGAAGGCTCACTCGACAAGGGCACAGGTGTCTTCAGTTGCCTTCCTGGTGCATGTCCCTATCCAGGACATTTGCAGGGCCGCGACGTGGGCTTCAGTACACACGTTCACAACGCACTAGGCCATCACTCAGCAGGCCAGAGATGACCGTGGCTTTGGCAGAGCTGTGTTGAAATCGACACATCCATGAACTCCTTACCCTCCTCTGGTGGTACTGCTTGGGAGTCATCTACCATGGAATGGACGTGAGCAAGCACTAAAAGAAGAAAAGACGGTTACCTTTTGTAAATGTTGTTTTTCGAGATGTGTTGCTCATGTCCATCCCATGACCCGCCCTCCTTCCCCTCTGTCTAGCAAGAAGGAATTTGAGGGAGGGGGGAGCCGACGGCACCCCTTATTCCGCGGCATACGTGCGCCACTCCAGAGTGCGCCAGAGCTGGTCCTAAATGGATGCCACTGAAGGAAAAGCTTTCAGCACTGGTGCATGTGGTGAGCACACACACCTACAATGGAATGGACATGAGCAACACATCTCGAAGAATAACAGTTACGAAAGGTAACAGTATTTTCAATCTCCAGCTCTGCCACTGACCTGCTGGGTGACCTTGAGCAAGTCACGCCATCTCTCTGTGCCTCAGTTTCCCCTTCTGTAAAATGGGGATAATGATATTGGCCGCCTCGGTAAAGCATTTGAGATCTAAAGTTGAAAAGTACTATATGAGAGCTAATTATTATTATTCAAAAGGGAGTGGCTTTGCTGTTCTGTTGTAATATATGTTTAAGTGCCTTTGGCAGCTGTTTCTTAACCCAGTCACTGATGATTAATGCAATGCTGCTGGATGGGGCAGCAGTGGGGGAGATTGCTCCCAGGGCCTCTGGATGAGAGAGCATGAGCCTCTAGTGCCCAAGCCAAAGAAACACCAGATTCCTTAGCTTAAACTATTGTAGCAGACTCAAACATCTGTACATGGACTAGCCACTAGACAAGGACAGAGAGACATATTGAGTAAGCATGGGTTACATTTGGTTTAGGTAAACTAGTGACTGGTTCATCCAGAATGCCAGTTTTGTTATAAAAATTATACTAAACCATGATCAGAAATACCCTAGGATAATGTAATTTAGGGATTAGAGGTGAGTAAAGCTAGCAGTTTGTGCTTTGCAAGTGGAAACTGATATTTTGTGAGTATTCATTTATATGAAATCCATGTGAAAATCTCTTTGAAAAAGAAGTTGCTAACACAAAGTTACTTATTCAGAGTTCCCTGCCACCAGTCCAGTTCTCAGACAACTAGACCATGCCTCTTCTGGCAGCATACACAGTTTTTTGTTACAAATTGGGAAACATTTATTCCCTGGGCAAAACTGTAAATTATTTCTTGATGAAAACTTGCCATTTTCACAGAGGAATTTCAGCATGGACATAACAAGTTTTCCATCTGTGAAAAGTCTTTCACTTTTTTATATATAATCTTTTTATCAGGACTAAAATGAGTGAGTATGTATGGTTTTTCTTGTCTCCAGAACCTCCAACTTGTTCCCCAGACCAGTTTACCTGTGCGACTGGGGAGATAGACTGTATCCCAATGGCATGGCGATGCGATGGATTTCCAGAATGTGATGATCAGAGTGATGAAGATAGCTGTCCTATATGCTCAGCAGCCCAGTTTCAGTGTGAGAAAGGACAATGTATTGATGCCCGCTTGCGGTGTAATGGAGAAATTGACTGCCAAGATAAATCCGATGAAGCAGACTGCAATAGTAAGATTAATGTCCTGAGTGCCTGGCTTTAAAGACCATTATTTAAAGACCTTCCTTTTTACTCTGAAACCAAAAACACAAAAATACGTTGATTCTGCCTTTCTCTCCCTCTTCATCTCTCCCCACCCCCTCTTCTATGCTCAACATATACATATATATATTTCCATAACTGCATAGTTACCTGATCAGCTACTTGTAAGCCTTAGGGAAAATAAATACAGTCTATGTTTAAAATCCAGAGCAAACATAGGAAACAAACGCACAGGGCTAATTTGACTAAAGACCTTGGATTGTCAGGAGCTGAAATAGATTTCCTCTCCATTCTGTTGCCTTAATGGCATATTCTGTTTTGTGGGGGGAATTTTTTTCAAGTTAATCAACACTTGTGTACTTCAGCTGTGTAATTGCTCGTACGTGCCAGAATTACACACTGTCTAAACTGTGTGTGTCTTGCTGACCATTTTTCTCCTAAGTACTAGACAGTGATGCAGAGATTCAGTTCCCAGGTGGATAAAGTGTAGTGTACACAGCAAGTGCTGTATGTGTTACGTCTGGGTTTCGTAAAATGTTCAGTTACTTCACAGAGCAGGTTATAATTTGATTTAGATTAAGATTTTGTGTGCTAACTAAATGGTTATTTTTTCCCCATTCAGCAATCTGTCTCCCAAATCAGTTTCGATGTGCCAGTGGCCAGTGCATCCTCATAAAACAGCAGTGTGACTCCTTTCCAGATTGCATCGATGGTTCCGATGAACTTATGTGTGGTGAGAGGTCTTTCTTTGGGATTAAAGCTGTCTGCATGCATGCAGGCATTACATTGAAGTGTGTGTATATAGACTGTTACTTCTATGGCTGGCCCTGAGTCTAGGGGGATAGACCAGCTCTAGCTTGCTGCTAAACTCAGTCCTGCTCTTTCTAAGTTCCTGTCTACACTGTAACAACAGCCCTGTTGGTGGCCTGATTACAACTCACTGGTAGCCTTGGAATTCATAGGGCTGCTGCACAGTTCAGGAACACTGTTAAAACAAAGCTTAGCCCCATCTACATTACAAGATCCAAGCTTTAATTGTCTCAAGAGATGACTATGTTGTGACCCAGCAAGGTACAGTGAAGATAGGACAAGAGAGCATAGGAGAGACCTTGATTTCCTGGCTGAAATGTAATCGGAAGTTCTTATGACCAGAGCTGTTTGTGAGTTATGGCTGAGCCTATGATGACTACTCCATTTTGCCCTTAGTTGTAATTGGCCCATTATTTTGTCAAATGCTTTGAGAAGCATGGAAGGCATAATGCAAATTCCATTCTGTTCTGCCCAAAACTGCCCCCCCTTTTCCCATCCCACCCCCACCTTCCATGCCTGGGCATATACAGCTCATGAAACTTTTGAATAGCTGGGAGGAGTAAGGACAGCCACTTTCAGCTACAAAGGGGGCTGTTTTAATTGAACGGTTGCAGCTCCTCGTTCTGAAGTGCTGCTGTGGGATAGAAGCAGGAATGCCGCTCTTCTGGGAATCTCATATGAACAAAAACAAAATCAGTCACCAAGTTTATATAGAGAATGCTACAGAGCATCTAAGAATGTCAATCTTATGGGGCTGGCTAATTGCCAGGTATTTAATATGTTGGGGATCAGCAAGTTTCTCAAGTGTGAGAGGGAGCTGATAAGGAGTGTTGTGCTGGGTGGGGGAGGAGTGATTGGGAGAAGGAGCCAGGTTGGGGTACCTCACTCCTTCCTCCCCTAGCCTGCATTATCCTACACATCCCATCCCTTTCTGGTTGGTTCCTGACCCACCCTTCGTCATGCTGGGAACCAGCAGTGGGAGGCATGTTTCATTAGCAACCAGGACTAAGAGGTGAGGGCTAGTAGCATGTTGAACAGGTCAGAGTAGGGGGCAGCATTGGAAGGATGAGCTGGGCTTATGAGGCTTTCGACCCATATGGGAGGGCGCTCTTCAAAAGCACAGTAGGGGATGGGGCAAGCGAAGGCTGGGAATGTAGGAGAAGCCTCATTAGCGGAGAAAAGAAAGTGGGAGCAGGAAATGTGGTTGGCATAGGAGAGGAGAAGAGCAATAGAAGATGAATTCATTTGCAAACTCATACCCTGGAAACCTCAGGGTGAATATTCTCCAGTTCCCCCATTGTCCCTTCTACTCTAGCCTACTTAACCTTCTTGCAGCCCTCACCCAATTTCTCCTTCTAAATAATAGTAAAAAGATTTTTTGTGCATTTGACAGCATCTTATGTATAGCCAGTTTTCTTTTTTTTCTGCACCCTGGTCCAGCAATTAAATCTGCACAGCCACAGTTGGTCTCCATGCAAGTGCAAGGATGCATACACAAGGCCCTGATCCTGCAATCAGATCCTCACTTAGTTTCTTGCTTGATGAAAAATGTCCATCGGGGGAAACCAAAAAAAAAAAAAAATCTTCTAAAAATTCAGGACTTAGTGTTCAAAGGATGCTTTCATCGAAACTGGATTTTTTTTTTAATTGGCCATTTTAAAACAAGTCCAGCTGAGTGTCCCTTTAAAATGATCATCGGATAGGTAGAATGGTTCAAACTCTAATACTGAAGGCTGGATCGATCCTCCGCTGGTGCACGTTGGGGATAACACCAATGTCTTCAGCGGCACTGCCTTGATTTGCACGAGCTTAGGGTCCGACCCAAACTTTGTGTATTTTTAATTTCTTTCAGAGGAACAGCCGTGTTAGTCTGTATTCGCAAAAAGAAAAGGAGTACTTGTGGCACCTTAGAGACTAACCAATTTATTTGAGCATGAGCTTTCGTGAGCTACAGCTCACTTCATCGAAAGCTCATGCTCAAATAAATTGGTTAGTCTCTAAGGTGCCACAAGTACTCCTTTTAATTTCTTTGATGCAGCCAAACACCATGGGGGGGCGGAGGAGAGTACACTTCCCTCACCTACTGCCTCTGCAGCAATGGTTACGCTAACGTGCTATTCCCTGAGCTGTGCTGACATCAGTCATTGACGGTGGAGCGTGAAAATCCTTTCATCATGACATGATGAGAGGATAATATAATCTGAAGTAGTTGTTAAATCAGAATAGCTGTGTTAGGCTCCGGTGCATTCAAAATGCAGGAAGGATTTTAAAAAAAATTGATTTGCCAAATGGAATAGGACAAATGATAAAGCAGCGCAAGAATTTTTATCAGATTGCTGAACGGGTTTGATTCAGCCTGTACTTGTTGGCACGCCATGCTAGCATTTCCCTCGTGGCCAAATAAGAGATTCTGCAGAATTTAAGATTTCATTTAATTAAAAAATACTTCAGAGTTGGCTGAGCAGATTCAACTCCTGATTACATCACCGCTGCAGATCTGGCCATAGGTCTTTGACTCAATGATGTGACCCAGTGCAGGATTCATTTAAGGAGAGATGTGGAGTGCCCCGCCATTGTCTCGAGAACACATTGTTAATTCTGAAAGTTAATGATACCGATTAATACATTTTAGTGTGTTGGCTATTTCAGTCAGAAAGTCACATATTTTGGGATGGTGGGCAAAGCTGTTCCAACAGCGAAAAAGTCTCATGTTTTAAAGGAACTCGTTCAGCTTGAAATTTAGTCCGTTTTAAAAATTAGTTAGAAGTGGCTTCTGGTACATTTTTAGAGGGCAGAGTGTAGGTGAGGTCAGAAGGTCCCTAATCACTATATGTGGAGGAGAGGAGACGTAAAATCTTGCTCAATAATTCAGAATGTAGAAGGCCTGAGGGACTCTGTGTGTGTGTGTGTGAGAGAGAGAGAGGTGTGAGTGAGAGAGTGTAATGTAATTATTTGCATAGTGCATTGTGTGAATGATTCTATGATCAATCTATCTTGTTCCCCCTGGCCCGGGGTTTTAGGAGCAAGTATGGAGGTTTTTCCGGAGCAGCATCATATACATCAATGTAATGAATTTTTTTTCCTTTTTTTTCAGAAAAAAACACATCCTCAGATGAACCTCAACCCCACGTTAGTGCTATTGGACCAGTCATTGGTATCATACTGTCCCTTTTGGTCATGGGAGGAATGTATTTTGTTTGCCAGCGAGTGGTATGTCAGCGCTATGCTGGACCCAATGGACCTTTTCCGCATGAATATGTCAGCGGAACCCCTCATGTGCCTCTTAATTTTATAGCTCCAGGGAGTTCTCAGCATGGCACTTTTACTGGTAAGGACGGTAAGGACCCTGCATTTCATCAGCACTATTATGTTACCTGGATTTTATTTTCACAGGATACTAACTATGGGGCTGTTTTTTGTAGGCACCAAAGCAAGTTAGATGTCGAACGTCCATTGACTTTCAGTGGGACTTTGGTGCTTATCTGCCCATTGGGCCACATTTGCAAATGTTTTCGGGTGCCAAAAGATGCAGATAGGTTTCTTTCAGTGGAAGTTAGACACTTTGGTGCTTTTGAAAATTCCATGAGGTGCCTAATTTTTTATTTTTTTAAATCTTCCCCTTAATAGTTACTGTGGAGGTCATGGGTATGTTCTTGGGTGTTGCCTCTACAAAGCTCTTACCCAAGTTTGATGGTATTTAACCCAGGGCTAGCTGGACCAGCTGGGGGTGTAGGTTAGAGGCCAGGCGCCACCTCCACTCAGACTGATAACCCACCCGCTTTGCAGTGAGGACTCGGCCTAAATCACTTGAGTGCTGATAACCCTCTAATGCCTTCCCACGATTGCCCTGGATCCCCAGAAGGACAGACAAGTTTTTCCACAATTCACTGTGAAAGAACAGCAGAGCTGCTGAGCTCACAAGAGCACGCAGAACTGCAGGATATGCCCCCAGAAGCCCTCTAAAGAGACAGGCGAATGCTGCCCCAATGAGGACACAGTAAATTAGATATGGCTTTGCAGTGTGACTGCTTATACCTGGAATAGGCAAACCCAAGTGTTCAGACCCAGGTGCTAATCACCTGGGCAAACTCTTCAGTGAAGACATACCCCTAGGTTTAATTCCTGGCTCCATTGAAGCCAGTGGTGCTATG